GGGGGGGGAGAGGGAGAGAGAGAGAGAGAGAGAGAGAGAGAGAGAGAGAGAGAGAGAGAGTCCTAGCACTTGGGTCTTTTGAGTAGCTACTGATTAATGGAGTTTCCTCAGTCCCTCTTATTCCCAATATCTCTAGAGCATCAGGCAACACTCTCCCTTCGTAAATGGGAATGAATGAATGAATGATCTGAAACCTGCCTCTGGCCCTTTACAGCTACTCTCTCCTGTGACCGCCCTCCCAGGGGGGCTTATCTTATCATGTATCTACTAACTGTCTCAGCTGAAAGTGTTGAAATAAAATGACTCACCAGGGCACTACCCACCAATGGCTTCATAGGCCCTGTAGCACTGCAAGCAAAGTGCTGGTGTCTTTAATCCAGGTTTCTCAAAGACTGGATTCAACAGAACCAAGTTAGTGACTCGTAGCTGACCAGGGCATGGCTGAAAGCATTCTCTTGCATCTCCAGTCTCGCCATGTTAGCAAGGCCAGCACAGAGGTGGGAAGCCTCCACTCCTGGGCTGTGCTCAAATGCGCACCTCCTCTGACATGTGTGTTCAGAGGAGCTGGCCCAGAGAGGCTTCTTCTGTCTTTATGCTTTTGCTTGGTCTGAGGACATGGGAGGGAGGGGCCCTAAAATGCTGAAAAAGAATTTTAATAAAAAGCTTATGACAGAAAAGCTAGACACTGACTCACTGCCAGAATAAAGAAGAATCAGTGTGACTCTACAGGCACATAAGACTCATAGCCACCTTTTGGTATCCAAGCTAAGATTTAGGAAGAAAAACCACAGCATTTATGTTTGGTTTGTAAGTAAGTTGAAAAGCTGCTTTCACAATCTACAGATTAGGTCTCCAAATCAAAATCATTTATATTAACCAAAAGGTTATCTAATTTTGCCTACACTGGTGTCAACCTCACCCCCATCCCCTGCCAAAAGGAGCAGCCTAGCTCAGCTGCCAGATTTTTATATAACACTCTCTTTATGTGAGCTAGACTCCAGAGTCCTAACACTTCACAGAAATTCTGTCTTAAAACTGGCACTGAGGCCTTGCATTTACAATATCCATTTCTAAGTGCAAAGTCAAGAGCTGTGAAAAGAACCACACCGGGGGCGGGGGGGTGGTCTGGGCTAGTCAGGTCTCATCCAGAAAAAAATTACTTGTTCTCTGAATCTTTGCAAGACATCTCCTTCACTAGTGCAACCAAAGAAAGGGAAGAGGAAAACCTGTTCACATGAGGAAAAATACAATTAACGGATTTATTCTTTACGGCTTATGGTTGCTCTAACAGTCTCATACTTTTCAAAACTCAGTGCAGGCACCAGTGTCTTGCCACTATTTGAAATTTTCACAGCTAACCATGAATTATTGACTAGTCTGTGGGACTTCTCGGTGGGGAAAACAAATCTACTGATATTCTTGGCTTATCCTTTGAACAGAAAATGTGCACACATCCATTTGGAACCAATCTGGTGTTACCCAACTCTTCTGAGTCCTCCTGACCCCATTTTCTCCTCCTAAAGGGGTACCTGTTTAGTTCCCTTTACTCATCCAGGCAAGGAGTGGAGAGCAGAGGTTTTTCTCAAAGAGCAGCAATGTTGGATCTGGGAACCCCCTTAAAAAGGCCATTTGAACTCTCTTGCAACATCCCACATCTCTGGATACACAGTCTCCTCTGGAAGGATAGTTTCCCAGAGAAAAAACCCCTGCTATTTGGAGGTCTGGAGGTAATGTCAAGCAAGGGTAGGCAGGGAGAAAATGAAATCCTTAAAGCACTAAGGATGGGGCTAGAAGTTTCCTTTTTCTCCTCCTTCCTCGCTCAGTAGAGCAGGTTTTCTACTCTGGATCTATCTGGGAGCCTTAAACACCCAATCTAGTTCACTTGAGGCAGGTGGATGAGCTGGCCCATCTCTCACTTCTGCCCTTAAATGTGAAACCCTTCCTTTCTCACTGCTCAAATTCTACTTAACTCTATCCTTTTACCTTCTTAGGGCCCCACAGGCTGCCTGGGCTTGATAGTTACATGACATTTTAAAGAGAAGAACAGGCCAAGCCCAGGAGGATCTGGAGCCACAGAGAATGGAGCAGAGAGAAGCAGAAGCCGGGCACACTGACCATGCCTTCCTCCTGCACAGCCCAGACGGTCTCAGCCCGCCCTGGCCAAGGCAAGGGAGAGAGAACCATCCAGACAGCTGGGCTGCCAGGACCACGGCAGCCCTGATCCAGCTCTCACACACTGTGAGAAGGTGAACTTGGCCATCTCCCAGTCTGGAATCCTCTCCATCACAGTAGGGAGAGAGAGGATCACTCACAATGAGCCCAAATGGACCTAAGCAGACGAAGCAGGGATCCGCTTATGAGGTATGATGGCAAATATTAATGACATCAAATCCTGTATCTGATATGGAATGGAGGGCCCCCGCGTGGGCTTAATCCCTTTTAAGTACAGGCTCTAATGGTAATAATGTAGATGACGAGAAAAAGAGAGAGAGAGAGGAGCTGAAGCTATAAGCCTTTCAGTGGCCACTAAAAATAAAATACAAAATGTAAGCAAATTTTCTACACAAAATCTTTTACAAGCCAGGAAAAATGAACACTTACAGAGAGTCTTCTACATTACACAATAAAAAGACTATTTCCATTTCTTATTTGTATGAAGAAGGAAAGATTTTTTTAAACTACAAAAGTTACTTGTAATCATTAAAAAAAAATAAAAGGAGGTGGGGGGTTAGGTTGTTTCTCTTTGGGTGAGCTGCAAAGTAGCCAAACCTGACTATCCGAGGGAAGAACGTGGGTGCAGATGCCACCTGCTCTGTCCCCCTTTGCTGCGGCAGGTGGGGGGTGGAAGGGGGAGAGAAGTGGAAGTGTGGAGGGAGAGGCAGGAGGGGGGCCGGGCCAGGCGGGGAAAGACAAGCTAGCAAGGTTGTCAGGGGACAGGGCTTCCCTCCTCTGTGCTGGGGACAGACAGAGAAAGCATCGGGCCCCAGGGCCACGGACCTGAGCAAGGCATCGTTCCATCTTTCCCTCTAAGCTCATCCTTTAGGGGACGCATGCTGAAGGGGACTTCTCAATGGTAATTATTTTGCAGGCCTCCAGTAAAAAAAAAAAAGAAAAGGAACAAAACACCGTCTGGAAAGATTAGGGATCCCAGAGCCTAGGGTGTCCTCCCAGCTGCAAAGGCCAACAGAAGACTTTGCTAGCTGGAGGGAGGGAGGCAGCGAATCTCTTCAGTGTGGTGCTAGTGGGAAGCCTCAGCAAGCTAATAAATACTATTTACAAACGGGGAGGAGAAGCTGGGAGGCAGAACTACGGACATGTGGGGATATGGGTCGTGGGGAGTCCTACCAGCAACAAGACGGGGCAGGTTCGCCTGGAGTAGAAAAGCCTGATTCCTTCAGGCATTGCACTTGCGGCCTGAGAACACGAAGGGGGAGCCCCGGCCTGCCAGTGCCCGCACTGGGAGGACAGTCCAGCGAGGGCCGCGCCGGGGCAGAGTGGGAGGGAGGTGCCCACACGGTGCCCTGCGCTTCCAGGGCTGGCGGGGCCATCACACTGGAGACCCAGGTGGGAGCAGGGGAGGATGTGAGTCAGTGCTTTGCCAACTCCCAACAGGCAGCGTGGCTTTTTTGTGGCTAGGGTCTGGGGTCTCAATTGAATAAGAGCCATCTCTTCTTCAAAGAGGGGTCACACCTCATGGGTGAGAATCAGGCAGTATCTTTTTGGTACTACTGGCAAAACAAGCCTGCTCATCCCACCCTCAATTGAATAAGAGCCATCTCTTCTTCAAAGAGGGGTCACACCTTATGGGTGAGAATCAGGCAGTATCTTTTTGGTACTACTGGCAAAACAAGCCTGCTCATCCCACCCTGCACCCCTAAAACCATTTCCCATGGCAGTAAGAGGAAGGGAGGGAGAGACATGGCTCCCTTCTGCACCGGGGTGGAGGGGTCAGGGTGGGGGTAGGCGTGGACTGGTGGGGACCCTGCCTCCCCCTGCAGGCGGAAACCTCAGGCTGGCTGCCCATCCAAAGCCACTAACACTCATCCATGTCTTTATCAAGATCCGGTGGCAAAGAGGAAAGGCTGATGACAAAGGAGGTTTGGGGATGGAGAAATAGAGTTAAGGGGAAGAGGAGGGTGGAGGCAGCCTCTTTAGAAGGTGGTGTTCACTCTTCTGTCAAGTTCCACAACCTTTAGTGTTTCGTTCCCCTCCAGTTTGGTGCTGACCCTGTGAAAGCATCATAAGGAAAAAGAAGAGGTATTAGCCGCTGACTGCTGATCACCATTCTCAGACTTTGTAGTGACACTATCATTCGATGGCTGCATCTTTGTGGGCCAGCCCAGGCTTGTTTCTTGTCCTTCCCTCCCAGTAGCAATTCTCTGTTCCCAATGTCCCCGTTACCAGCCTATCTACTTGCCTACTTTGCTACCTTTATCACACCCAAGAGTAGGCATCCCAGCCCAGAAGATAAACTTGGTAGTTTGAAACTGATTTGTCATAAATGGCTTTAAATTATTTAAATTATTATTTAGTAAGGATGCTTAGCCCTATGCTAAACTCTGGGAAGGAGAAAATAAATGTGTGGGCTGATCCCTGGTCTAGAAGAGCTAATAATCTAGATAAAGATTTTTTAAATTGAACTAATTTGAAATAACAATAAATATATAACGGAAAATCAATATGCTATTAAATTGTGTAACAGCCCATAAAGTCTCTAGGCATTCAGAGGAGGGCTAGGAGGGCTTTGTCATCTGGGAGACATCACAGAACAAGTGGAATTTGAAAGGGGCTGTGATTAGCTGAGCGAAGAGGAGAGAAGATTTGTGTCATGAGCCAAGTATTTAGGCAGCTGGTCTTCCAGAGCTTCCAGTGGTGGCTCCAGATTTCCTCTCTAGTGGGAATAATAATGACACCTTACCTGTTGGAGTTGTTAAAAGGATTTATATGATATCTTATCTGTAGAGTGCTTAAAATAGTAAGCACTAGTAAATGTTAAATATACATGTATCATGTACACATATAAAAGCATATACAATTATGAACCTTCTTCTACAGGGTTAAAGGAAAAAAGCTAAAGAATCAGAAATGGAATCTTTCCCACTTACACTGGAACCACTTCATTTCTGGGTGGCACAGGAGCAGAGTTCAGCTAAATCACCAGCCACAGCACATGTGACCAGGAGCATGCGTGCAGACCCTCCTGCCGTGCTGATATGCATACTCAACACCTTGTAGTCGTGTAAGCCTTTATCTTTATGAAAGGACTTTTCCCCCTAACTATCTAAGACAAACAACTCATGGAGAATTGGAGCCAGTGATTTTAATATGGAAACAAGTGCATGTGCAATGCCTCTCAGTGTCCCTCAATTTAAATATATAATTAGAAGTATACAGCTATAACTAACGCACGCATATTTATGTATTAACCACAAATATATATTGATCCGTAGCATATATATTTACTGTCTACTTGGAGGGAAGCTAGAGAACGTGTCTGGAAGCTGCATTGCACATCAAGTACACTGCAGTTACCTGGGCTGCATGTTCTCCATGTGGCTTTGGGGGCAGGATGAAGATAGCGGGGGGAGGGATTCAAGCCCCTCACCCTCTCCTGGCTGCCATACCTGCCAGCTCCCCAGTGATGCAGCAGACATGAGGGACCTCATGCTAGGTCTGTTTCCTGTCTCTGCTCAAGGCAGCTATCGGCCAGGTGTAGACTATCCTCAGTCCCAGGTCCTGGAAATAGGTCCTGAGTGAGCTGAGGGACTGGACAGGGCAATGGGGAGTCTCTACCCCACATTCCAGGTTGCTGACTAATAACTCATCATCAGGGCACTAAACGAGTGAATCCGTGTCTATATGACTCACAGGTGCTGTTGCAGCTCCAACAGCACTGACTTCTCCAGGCTGGTCTCATTCGAGATAATGAAATGGGGAAGATCCACATCTGGCCTTGTCTCCAGCCCTGATGCCCTGAGCAGGGAGGAGCCTCTGTCCCAGCCCCCAAGCTCCCCAGCCGAGGCTGGGCTGGATGGCTCCTCCAGGGGAGAATGTTCCTCATAGATCAGCAGGTTCCTGGATCTCACTGAGGACAGAGCAAAGTAACAGGTGTTAGCAAAAGACTACAGGAGTCCAACACATCCCTCTGTCCACTGCCCAGACTGGTGGCAGATGACAACTGGTGTGTTCTTGTTGCCCAGCAGTGAGGATGCCAACTGGATTTGGCTTCTAAAAAGCCTTCAGGGTTTCAGAGTTTGTGCACTGAAAAATCATACCAATTATACAGTGCTGAAAAAACAATAGAAAAGCAAATAAACTTGGAACAAACTACCACCTCCACTGCTTTGAAAATAAAACTCCCCTCCTTATCCACCCCTAACCCTCTAGGGAAAACAATTCATGTAGAATGGGAGTCAAATACTTGGAGATGTCCAGACCCAGCTGAAAGCAGCAGCATCTCCAATGAGTGAGGCTTGCACGAAGATGAAGTACAAGAACATTTTCATGTAGAAACTAAATAAAAGACACAAAGCCTAAGCCATAAATCAAAGGTTGAAGACAGTCGCTTGTTTTATAGGATAGTCACATAGCTAGATGGCTCCAGCAATTTTCCACAGAACAGAAACTATGCTTCCATTGGCTTCCAATTAAATTTAGAAATATAGTCCCTTGGAGAAAAAGAATTTTCCAACAGGCCACTGAAATTATTTGATTGGAATGCTGGTACTTCTGTCATAGACCTGGCAGGGATGCACCTGCATGGTGGAGACCAGAGACGTTGCAGAATGGTAAAATTGTCCCTACCCCACATCCAAGGTCTCCTAACTCCACGCTTGTTCTTACTAGCATAGGTGTGTATTTGTGTATGTGTTCCTTACTCATGACCCCTTTGTTCCTACATACTTGAAAGAGATCATTGACCTAGGTGAGACAATCACACACTTTTTACCTAACCCCCGGGTCTCCAAGTTCTCTAAATCTTGAGCATGTTTTGTAAGACAGACAGATTCTTTCACTTCGTATTACAAATTCTTACTATGGTAACACAGAATTCCCCTCAGCGGAGGCAGAAACACGGGAGTTCTCTTCAAATGTCAAGGAAAGCTTAATACTCTTCCCACCCCCCACACCTCCCACCCACCCGATCCACTTTCCTCCCCCTTATCAGAACTCAGAAAGGAATCTCAACATTTATCAGTGAACACAGTCTAGAGCACCAGTTTGCAAATAAATGTGCTCTGTCGAACACTAGAGAATTCCCTGCACTGCGTCTGCCTGGTGGGTAAAGATGGGTACAAGGGGAAGCCAGCAGCCCGGGCCCCAGTCTCCCCTATGCATCTTCCTTCCCTTCAAATGGAGAAGCTCCACTTTTACCACTTTTTATAAATTGGACCTTCACATAAGATTCCTTTCAGAAAGCTGAGAAACCCAGCTCTAGAGAAACGAAACAAGAACCTATCTGAGTGTCTCGCTGCGTGCTATCTTACCGATGGAGGCTGTGTATGGCTCTGGCATGGACTGCTGGCTAGGCAGAGCCATCTTGGTGGCAGAAGGATAGGGCCCACAGCCCTGAAAGAAGCTGCCGAATGCAACAGCAAAGCACAGCACAACGACCTGGAAAGGAGGAGAGAACACGGAGAGCTATGATTCCGGGCTCCACAGAGCAGACCTTCAATCTGCAACACCTGGGAGAACCAGGGAGAAGACAGACTACCCCCGTCAGGCCAGCAGACTGCACCCACAAGTCACATCGTCTGAATGTCATACAGAGGAACAGCCTTGGAGTGAGCAGGGTGGTTTCTTCAATCACACAGCACTTGGCCTTGTTGAGTTGGGAGATGCTGGAGACAGGGGACTGGGCTCAGGGCAGTTACCATGCTGTCCCCTCGGGAAACTCACCATGAGGCAGGTGCCAGTTTGTGTGCCAGCTAACTTGCAGGTACGAGAAACCTTGCCCATCACCAAAGTCTGAAGCTTCTGCAACTGCTGAAGGAGAGTTCTGTGAATGATAACAAATAAAAGCCATGAAGGGAATGTGAGAGATAAGAGATGCTTTTTGAGGATCTCCATCTCCGTGCTCTGGGAAACCTACTGTGACTTTGGACTACATTTGAGCAGAGCACTGAGGAACGGTTTCCTGTGGAAGAAGGTATGGACACGAGTGCCTTCTAGCACGACTGTCAGAGCTCACTAACACCTTAACAGTTTGTCCTGCTCTTGCAATGCTCTGAATAATGGGTGAATGACCCCAAATTATCCCTGACAGGCTGTAACTTGTTTGTCAGCCATTGAGAACAAAGAAAAAAGAACACTCCAATTCAATGTTTGCTGTGGTCTGAATGTTTGTGTCTCCCCAAAATTCACATGTTGAAACCTAACCCTCAATGTGATGGTATTAAGAGGAAGGGCCTTTGGGAGGTGATTAGGCCATAAAGGTGGACCCTCATGAATGGGATTTGTGCCCTTCTAAGGGGCTAAAGAGACCAGAGTTTTCCCCTCTACCATGTAAGGACACAGCTAGAAGGCACCTTCTGTGAACCAGAAGCAAGCCTTCACCAGACACCACATCGGCCAGCGCCTTGATCTTGGTCTTCCCAGCCTCCAGAACTGAGAGAAATAGGTTTCTGTTGTTTATAAGCCACCCAGTTTATTGTATTTTGTTACAGCAGCCTGAATAGACTAAGACAATGGGGACTAAAAAAAACCTCATTTAATCATGAGATGAGAAAAATTGATGAAAACACAAGGAAGGAGAAAAGCAAAGAGAAGAAAATGGCCAGCAGAGAATAACTGAAAGAGTAGCCGGAGGTGGTGGCTGTGATTGGAAATGGCAACAGCGTCACTGAGCAACAGGCTTCAGACGGCAGATTTGAAGAGAGAGAGAGGAGAGGAAAAACAAGAACGGCTCTGTTTAGGGCAGGAAGGCAAACAGCCATCTGCACCTCAAGCCTGTGCTTCTGGAAGACTCCACTGTCAGAAATGAGCCAAAATATGAAACAGCAAAGACGCCTGCTCCAGTGGACCCTCACACTCAGAGCCAGGGATCTTGGAAACCATCCTCTGATCCAGACTTTACTCTTTCTCCAGGAAAGGACAGCAGGATCAGAAAAAGTGTTGGTTTACCCCTAAAATTGGAAAACTGTGCACCCCCTTAAAAGGGAAGGTTTGAGAATAGTGTTATTACTCTGCTCTGTGTGACATCAGGACACAGAAAGAACAGATGGTGAAATTCTTTGCAAATTCTGAACACTGCAAGGCATAGAAAAGGATCTGACAACACACCCTTCTGAATTAGAGCATCTGGGGTGAATTCTGCATGAGCAGCATAGAGTTGAGCCTCCTCCTCGCCCTCATCCCGGTCCCCAAGCCTAAAGCACACAGCAAAGTAGAAAGATGTTATGAGCAGACCCTTTTCCTGAGTCTCAAAGATTTTCAGAAAATTCACGCTGTGATATGTTAGAGAGCTCACTCCAAGTTCATTGGAGAACATCAGCAAATCATTTGTTTGTAGAAGAATTCTGGGCTTTTGTTGTTCACTTGCTTCTCAGGATTTTCAGAAAATTCACGCTGTGATATGTTAGAGAGCTCACTCCAAGTTCATTGGAAAACATCAGCAAATCATTTGTTTGTAGAAGAATTCTGGGCTTTTGTTGTTCACTTGCTTCTCATTAGAGTCTGTCCCCTGAATAGCTTTAAAATGGTAGAAGGACAGACAGATTTTTCCAGGTTTTGCATCTTCTCCCCTGGCAAGTACCAGTGAAACAAGTTCTTCCAATTTAAGAAAATTAAGGACAGGCTGGCCATAAGAATGGTGTTGCTTTCAGCAATATAAATGGATAAGATTGGTGGGAGAATTGGAACAGCCCTGAACACACACAGCAGAGGATTTCTGGTCCCACCTACACCACATTTTTTCCCTTGTACAATGATTTTAATTTAAGCAAAACAAAATAATTCATCCCATTAATTAATATAACTAATTTAAATTCTAGTTAATGTGGAGGTCTTTTTTTGCACTTAATTGTACATTTTTTATTTCTGGTTATATACAGGTATGGTCACATGTAGTTTAGAACTGGCTTATGTTTATATACATTCAAGTAACAAAGTCTTTAAAAGCATTGTGTATATTACTCAAGACTGAGAAATACTGACAGTATTACAGTTATAGTCAGCCCTCTGTAACCATGGATTCTTCATCCACAGATTCAATCAACCACAGATGAAAAATACTCAAAAAACAAAAAATAACAATGCAACAATAAAAAATAACACAAATAAACGGAAATATAGTATAACAGATATTTACATAGCATTTACATTGTATTAAGCAGTATAAGCAATCTAGAGATGATTTAAAGTATATGAGAGGACATAGATAGGTTATATGCAAATACTATACCATTTTATATCAGGGACTTAAGCATCCTGGATTTTAGTACATGTAGGGGTCCTGGAGCCAATTTGTGGGGGTCCTTGGATATTGAGAGACAACTATACTTCAAATTCTACTTAAAGATTTGCAACTAAATGGTCCTATGACACAGCATGTTTTTCCTCATCAAAGTTTTTCTCTTTTCTCCCAACACTTGCCCAAAACACCTCCCTTCTAACAACCAACATGGCTGCCTTTTCAAAATTGAATGGGTGATCTACTGCACAGTCACTTCCTGAGGGAGCACTCATTCCACAGAGCTGAGACTTCGCTGGCCGTAGCATGTATTTGATTGACCACCATCTGTAATGCCAGCCCCAAAGCCCTCGCTGGGTTCTCCCTGCTGGTATTTCTGGGAGTCCTGGAGCAGACATACAAGTGAGTCCACAGATAAGACCACATGGCACAGACCCTTTTCTCTCCTCTGCTGGCCACCTCCCATGGTAGCAATTAATAAGGTCATTACAGCTGCCTGCTATGCTATGAAAGGGGCCTCCTGCCCCCCTGGCCTGCTTGAAGAACCACTTCTTTAAGTGATGGCTGCCACTTTTGCTGGGCAGCTCATCTTTCCACTGGGCACTCCTGCTGCCTGTGTGCCAGTGTCCTTAA